GTATTAAATTTATATTTGGGCTCCGCAAATATGATCTATCTCAGAATTTCGTAAACAGCTCAAATGGCTTCAGATTCGCTTTCACAGGAATACTCACACTCTCTCCAGTTTGTATGACGTGCTGTTTAATTCTTTCACTCCCCTTTATTTAAAAGACCGTTTCGAGTATCTTTCACTTACCCATTACCGGTTCCTTCAATCCTCTGTCAATCTTTCTCTATCTACTCCTTTGCACTCCTCCTCCTTTTTTAAGAAATCCTTAATAGCAGACATTAAGGATACGGTTATGGAACTCTTTACCTCTCCACATTCGTCGTGCTATTTCTTTTCATTATTTTAAAAATCTTGTTAAATCGTATTACTTAAAACGCTATTATATAAATTACTTTTCCTTTTTCGTACACTTTTCATCTAATTACTTTATCATGTTGTATATCATTTGGACTTCTATATTTTATATGTATTTTCATACATTTGTTTTGTACGCCCCCTCTATTTTAATTATTTTTACATCAGTTTGTAGCCAAGTTTGTCTGGAAGAGATTACTTTCAGAATGATAAGATCGCCCGTTATTCATATTACACTTTAGAATTAACTCTACATGTTATTTTGTATTTTGGCGAACAATAAAAATTGAGTAAATGAGCTATTTACCTGTAAAGATTATTTATAAAGATTTTTAGTACAAATCATTTTTATCCGTCGATAAAGTTGAATAGGAAAAGTTCTTTAAACTATTAAGTATAATTCCGATTCGTTTGAGAGAGTAATATCTTCAAATAAAGTTAAGTAATATAGAATCCGACTTTCGGTTGAGAATAACATTTCGTGTTAGAAAATACAGTGGTAGCTCACAAAAACTTTATTAGTAATGTGAAATGCTTCGTAATAACATTAGAATTTATTTCATTTTCCTAAAAGGATGTAACATTTTTGTTATTTGTATTTTCTCTTTTATATTTCACCTTTATAGTATTAATCCATTTTTTTTATGATGAACAACGTTTTGTGCAACAAATTTTTATTTTATATTTATGTATCCATTTTAAGAAAACTTATAGACTAATATCTTCGTAAATTAACAAAATGGCGATAAAATGGATAATCACACTCGCCTCCACAAAATGGTATATTGTCTTTATTACGTTATTGTAGGTTTAGTAACTTAATGGCATGGTATGGACCGCAAACTCAAAGGTCATGGGTTCGAATCCGCTATATAACTCTGTCGTGAATCACTCCTAACACAATAATCATTTTAGCTTACCATAAGCGGTTAAAGGAATATTAGTGATAGCATTGGGTAGTATTTTCAAAAAAAATTGTTAACTTACGATTAATACCAAAGAACTAATATAACTAAATGTACCAATTTATAATAAAATATTAACTAATATTCGTAGTTATGACTTTTGTTACATTCGTTAAAAATACAAAATCACATAATATTATCAAGTAGTATAAAGATCAGTATGTTAAGGTCGGCATTTTGCGAAAGAAAAGTCAGCACTCGCCTTAACGTCTTAAATGTTACCGGTAAAATACTCAAAAATCTCAAAAATAGCTCTTACTGTATTATACCTTTCATTGAAAATATGGGCAAAATAAATATTTTTTTTATAGAATAGGGGGCAAGCGAGCATACGGCTCACCTGATGGTAAGTGATTACCACCGCCCATGAACAACTGCAAAACCAGGAATTGCAGAATGCGATGCCGGCCTTTTAAAAAGGAGTTCCTTGAAGTTCCTTGAGTTTCTGGAAGGTCCCTAAGTTGTATCGGTCCGGAAATATGTCTGGTGCTAGTCGATTCCACACAGAAGTTGTGTGAGGAAGAAAACTTATTTTAAATCGCACGGTGGTAGACCGCCAGGCATCCAGATGGTATGGATGGTATCGCGAGTTTTGTCGCGATGTGCGATGGTGAAATTGCGCGGTTGGAATTAGTCCACCGTACAATTCCTCAGAGCACTCCCGTTGTAGATGCGATAAAATACGCAAAGAGATGCAACATCTCTCCGCAGTGCTAGTGAGTCAAGCCGATCGGAAAGAGCTCGGTCGCCGACGATTCGAACTGCTCTGCGCTGGAAGCGATCAATTGGAAGGAGCTGGAACTAGGGAGCTCCCGCTCAGAGATTTCCATGTGCGGCCGAACCTGCGCCCTGTAAAGTTGCAAGTGGTGAACCGGCATGAAATACTGTCCCGCTTTGCTTAGCACGCCAAGCTTTTTAGAGGCCAATTTGGCCTTCTCTTCCAAGTGTCCATAAAACTGCACGTCACTCGATAGGTCGACGCTGAGGATTCCGATACTGGCTGAGGCAACAAGGGGGGTGCCTTGAAACTGAGGAGATACGACGAAGGGGTTCTTTTTAGCGGTAAACGCGCAAACTTGTGCCTTCTGGGGATTAAAGTTAACTAGATTTAGCCGCTCCCATTTCGAGACTTTGTATAACAAAAACTCGACATCAGACACAAGTTTGTTCCGGTACTCGGCGACGATTTCCCGAGAAATATTGGCACGGCCGGTGTATAAAGCATCAGCAGTGCTGTCGTCTGCATAGCAATGAATGTAACCGGTTTGCAACATGCCATTGATATGCAGATGAAACAGCGTTGGTGATGGAACACCAGCGTTAATGGGCTTATAATCAGAGCATGCACCGTCTACTACGACCTTGATACTCCGATCTGCAAGGAAACTGGTAAACCACTTATGATATGATTTCTCGGGAAGCCCATAGGAAGGAAGCTTCGTAAGAAGCGCTTTGTGCTAAACCCGATCGAAGGCCTTCGCTATGTCCAAACTAACAGCTAACGCCTCCCCCTTAGACTATACTGCCTCCGCCCATTTATGAGTTAGGTAGCCCAAAAGATCAACAGCCGAGCGACCGCGACGGAAACCGTACTAGCAGTCACTAATCAGCTGGTGATCTTCAAGGTACCGCACGAGCTAGCTGTTAATAATGGATTCCATTATTTTAGAGAACAAGAAGGTGATGGCGATAGGCCTATAGTTGGACGGGTCAGAGCGGTTACCTTTTTCAGGGATCGGGTGCACGAAGGCTGTCATCCATGATTTCGGGACCAAGCCTAGGGAGTAGGAGTACCGGAAAAGACGCGTTAAAACCGGTGCAAACTCCACAGCACACGTCTTCAGCACAATAGGAGGGACGCCATCAGGCCTCGCTGGTATTTACATCCTGAGACGTCAATGAGCGAGCCCGGGCATGGTAGCACTCTTGCTTATGACGTAATGCATTTTGCATGAGCAACGAAACCAACGGGGTCTGCCTCCGATAGGTACCACAGTTAACGAAATAAAAGTTCCATTCCCTGTAGCACCACATCAGCAATAAAATCAGCAACAACGCTGGGTTCATCCGACGAGAAGCAAGCCCGCCTCCATGGGTAGAATACAAAAAAAAGATCGTATTCCGTCCTAATCGGCTGACCTAAATACCAAACACGGCGGCAACCTGCAGTACGCAACCGCGATGGGAGCGTGAGTGGCACCGTACTCCGGATCAGACAATGGATCAAATGATCAATGAATTCAATATCGAAAAATGCGGTGGGCGAAGAAGGCTCGAATGATATGAATGCCTGTCGAACACATTTATTTTGTGCAGTTTGTAGAACAAGCCGTCATACCGGATCTTGTCAAACGCTTTTGCCAGATCAAAAAATGGGCTTCGCTGTTGAGAGTTTGATGGTTTCTGTTATGACTAAAGTCACCCAAAGTGTCCTGTGTTAGGCGACTTATTTGGGTGGTGCACAAGTTTTTGGGTCTGAAACCAAACCGCTCGTTTGGAAGAAGCTTTTTATAGGAAGTATTCGCAAAGGCGATTTAAAATGTGGTGTGCGTAAGTTTTCCATAGCGTACTAAGGAGACTAATCGGTCTATAGTTAGAAGCTAAATTACCGAGTTTCCCTGGTTGCAGAATTCACATTATATCGGTCTTTTTCCAGATGTCCGAAAAGGAGTATCTGGAGTGAAGTACGTTGAAAACGCTTACTATACGGCTGAATTGAGGCAATGATAGTGATTCGATTACCTTATTACTAAAGCAATCGGGGCCTGATCTCCCTTTAAGATATTTGTTTTGACTTCTAAGACTTTGTCGATATTCATTTGTTAGCGATCGCCCGCAAGTGGTAAGCATACTTAGGTTTGACCTCTGCTTCTACTTCTAGAAGGAGAGCGGCATCGATAGGTTTGCTACACGGAGTGCATTGGCTCTAGGTGCTGCAGTCCATGGACACATGCGGCTAACTTCAGTCAATGAAGACTGCAGATGGGTTATCACCCCTGAGGATTAAAATGGAATACCTCACAGTCTAATATACTAGCTTTCTATTCCCTCCAGGCCACTGCTATATAGCGGCAGACGTTGGTAAGATAGTGTCCTTATGCCCAGATAGAGAAAGAGCCCTACCACCTGGTTTGCTGAACGCATTATAACTATCGAAGGAAAACGCTCCGTACGAATGCTTGGTTTACCAAGAACGAAAGAGTAAATTACTACAGGATATATATAAAGCTGAAGGATTGAAACAAACCTTTAAACAAGTTTATGCTGGCTGGCAGACAGACTATTTGTCCAGCCTCGCCATTGCTCGTCGTCGCTCGCCTAGCTGGCCGAGTGGAAGCGAGCGCCAACATGTATACGGTTCGTCTGGCGTGCTTTACTACCACTGGCACACTTCGGAACAATGTTGGTTTTGCTACACAAGTCAAAAGTGCTCGCCTGCACTTGGCAATTCGTGTGTTACACATGTTAGTTGGCCATTCAGTATGTTCACTCGTTTAAACTTGACCAACATGTAGACTGTAGCACTCGCCTTGTATCAATTTCTCGCGTTGGTTACGGCTTGACCAACATGTATTGACGGATTTAGAGAGATTGCTCTATCTCTATAGACTGTAAGTATATCATTCGGTTTCCAAACAAACGTTCGTTAGTAAAAAGGGCATTTGATGTTTCCAGGATGTCCGCGATATGGAGCGGGTGCTGGACCAGCAGATACACGAGAGCAACGTTGCGCCATTTCTGCAGCGCATACGGGAAATGGTTGGCGGAAGACTGCGTACTGGTAGATTGCGGGTGAGACACATACATACTCTACGCGCCACGCCGCAGACGGCGGCCTCGACGCACTCGCACCGCAAGACCGCTGGTGAGACTATGCACACACACATAGGCACACACCCACGCAACACGCGCACAGGCGGTGGATCATGTATAGTGCCATAAGAGATTTTCTATTTCTATGTTTAAGTAACGTAAAATAAAATGAAACTACCGGTTAACATCGTCTTTGAAATAAAATATAAACCTCATTATTGGACGCGTTACTATGACTTCCAATTTTAATAAGATATTTATATAGCTTTAATTTACGTCATTCGGGAGGGGACCGAACGTTTGTTGCTTTGAAATGTTTCGGTATTGCTCTGAGATAAAAGCAATTAACTCGTTTGATTCGTCTACATGAAAAGCCTTTGAAATGTAGCTTAATAACATGTGACTTCTATTTACAATGGTTAAAATGGAATATTTTATTGTTTTAATATTTCCTTATTTTAAAACTTCGTTGTGTTCACCACACTAAGGTAGGGCCAATACCAGTTGACATTTCGTTCTAGTCGGACCAAGGTGTGGTAAAAACTTGCCTGTCCCTTCCATACCTTTTTTATGAGATAAGGGTGACAAACAATCACACAGTCCACCTTATGGTTGGTGATTGCTGTGGCCCATAGACATCTTTATCTATCCTCGGTTATGAATCAAAATGCAAATGCGTTGTCACCCGTGAGGACTAAGATAGAATGACTCGCTTCCACTAAAAAGGGTCTCAGTTTTCCACACTCACCATACGAAACACAGCAGCATTAGGTTTCTATTTTACGCTGGTATTCTGTGAGTTCGAACTCAATGTTACGTTGGTATTTTCTCCCTTAATCTCATTACGTATTCGGATTGTATGATATTTTCATCCGACTTCAAAAAAGGAGAAGGTTCTCAATTCGACTGTATTTTTGTATGCTACCTCAGAACTTTTTTCCAGGTGAACCGATTTTGAAGATTATTTTTTTATTTGAAAGCTGGTGCTTCTCATGTGCTCCTATATCAATTAGATCGAGATTGACCAGCAGTTTTTCAGTTATGCTTAATAACTAATATTTAATTGACTTCGACTACATTGATGATGTCCTCTTTTTTTAATTGAAGTCAGTTGTACAAAATTTCTAATTTTACCACTTTTTTACTATAATGTACATAAAAAGTGTATATATCAAGATATGATGCATAATGGTGGTGACGTGTACAGGTCGTGAGTATTACATACTACTATTTCCCGGGCGTATATTGCTGACATATACGCAGTTGTTATACAACATGTAAAAAAGCCTGTGGTTCGCGTTAAGTGCGTTATCAGAATCGGTATTCAAACGTATAGAATTTTTTTTTTTCATAAAAAAACACATTTAAAAAATCATTTGCAAATTGAATGTGGTTTTATTACCTCTGCATTGGCCGAGGAGTCAGAGGAATGTCAAAGATCCCGCATTACCGATACTCGTGTGAGTTAGAGGAAATAAAACCACATTCAATTTGCAAATATTTTTTTAATTAAATTTGAAAAAACTTATTGTCGTTTTTTCTAAAAAAAAATTAGATCTATAAGCTTGAATACCGATTCTGATAACGCAGTTAACGGGAACCATAGGTTTTTTGTTACATGTTGTATTACTTAATAGTGTAGGCGTAGTATATTGCTCACCAGATAGAAAGTAACAGATTGTATTTCCTCGAAAGTAAAATCTAGGAAGATCTCATCTAACATTAAAGTACAAAGTAAGTAAAGTTACAGCCTATATACGTCCCACTGCTGGGCACAGGCCTCCCCTCACTTCTGAGAGGGTTTTAGGACAAGGAAGTGTCCGCCGCGCTGCCCCAATGTGAGTTGGCGAACTTCACATGTCTTCGAAATGCTTTTTTTTTCTTATTCCTCAGACATGCAGGTTTCCTCACGATGTTTTCCTTCGCCGCCGAGCACATGGTATATCAGCACTTAAAATTGCAATTAACAATTTCATTAGTGCCGGCGGGGATTGAACCCGGGTTACTCACGTTCTGTTATATTTACAGCGAGCGTTAACCATCTGAGCTACCACGGCTCTTATCTATCATTATGAATAAATATTACAAAAATAAATAAGCAGTTAAGGAAACGAAACGAATTTATGTTCATAAAATCTAATCACAAGATTTTGTTTTAACACTAACCAAATTGGGAATCACTGTAGCACTGTGTAGAAACAGCGCTAGCGGTATTGACTCATGCTCATGACGACTATACATTGGAGAACAGCGTACGCTCCTTATCAATTATTTACAGTAATAAAGTCAATTAATATTCGCTAATTTGAGATGGACTCGGGTTAAAGGGGAATAACTTGTGCATAATGTAGGTTCGTCTCAAAAAGTCCCGAGGCTCTCTCGACGAGAATAAATAGTAGGATGCTCCTGTACGATAATCATTCAGTCCTCGTATCCAACGAACTAAGGAATTGGAAAAGATTTTTCCGTGTTTACAATACTATTGGTAAGCTCACTGCTATTTGTAAATAATTGACTATTAACAGATTATCCAGATTATTTTTAAATTTATTATTTAATGTTTATAACATATTACTCGTTTAATGAAATTCAAAACGTATTTGGTACAACCAAACTTGGCAAGGCACATACAGCGGATAAAATTTTTTTAATGTGAAGTGAAAGCCGACTTTAAGAAAGAAATTAAAAAAATCCTTAGGAATTTCGTTTAAAGTCAGTGCTGAGACATAGACGAAGACTACAGAAGCTATTATCTAGAAATTATTTTATACTTTTAATTTCTTATATACCGACTTCACCATAAGGTTATCTAACGTCGTATAATAAAAAATTATTAAAAGTTTAAATTTTTGACCCTTTTGAGTGGACTAAGGAATAGCACAAGGTAATAAACAATTTTTTTTTAATTTTTGATCGAAATTTATATGACACCAACCCCGAAGTATATCATAAAGAGAAAAATACCTTAATAACAAAATACTTAAAAAAAATAAAGGGCCAGTTTCACTCTGTATTGCAGTAACAAAAAGCTAGACTACAGTAGTGCTACAGTAAAGGAGTTTATTACCGCAACGCTGATGCACATAAGTCGACTAGCAAAATTTTTATATTTTCCTAACGATTTTGTTTACAGAACAATGAAGTTCCTTTGTGTTTTGTTTGGAATTGTCGCTACGGTCGTAACTCAAGGCTATGACTACCCGATGAATCCTCAGATCGCGGTTGTCAGGTATGAACTGATTGCAAAATTTTATGTATTGTCAACACTATTCATTTGTAAGTCAGTAGTTATTTTCAGACCTACTTCATCCAATATTTTTTATTCTCTTTCATCACCCCCTGAAAGTCCATTGCTGTACTTCGCTGAACGCGTGGGGTCTCGCTGTTGCAAGGAGAATTTGCCTTAATCGTTACGCTTGAGAAGCGGATTGACGGTCGCACGACCAGACGTCTCGCAACTATAACACAGCTGCCTGGCGTAAATGAGGTGGTTATACTGATGTCTGTCGAAAGCCATAAGATTTTCTGACATATAGTCGACCTTAATGACACCATTCCATCCATCTATCCATCTATCACAGTCTGTAAAAGTCCTCAGTCGCCACTTACGACATACGACGATGTACGGTTGTGGCATCGATATATATGGCAGTCCACTACAGTACGTTTTACTAGGAGTTTTCTTCCTCGTACAACTTCTCTGCGGAATTGCTTACCACCGGCGACTTTTCCGGACCGATACGAGTTAGGGACCTTCAAGAAAAAAGCTTACTCCTTTCTAAAAGGCCGACAACGCATCTGCAATTCCCCTGGTGTTGCGGTTGATCATGGGCGGCGGTAGTCGCATGCTAATTTGCCCCTTCTTCTATAAAAAAAATATATGTACTACGCACTAGATATCGCATTCCGAACACTTACTATGTTCAACTGAACTGTACTGCAATCCGTACACCTATTATTGTGACTTCGATATTCATGCAGTGCGGAGCGACGCTAATAATACGAAAATTAAATTAGCACATATGCAAAATAAACAAAAATTAAAAAAAATAAACTCGATTAACAATACAATCTAAATAACCAATTATTACATACTGATCATTATATGTACTATGATGACAAATTTCGCGCGTTTATATCAACCGTGCATGCGCGACTCTACTGTCTCCCGCGCATGCGCGAAGACAGAGTAGTGCATATTTTTGTATGGAATAGCTTCTGTAGTACGTAGTACATATAACTCAATAGTTAGTGGATATTCATACACCGTCACTACTCGACTGTGACACCCAGTGGACGAAATGAGGTGATGAATACGCTATTTTTTCGATATTTTAACGCTTCCAATTTTTAAGAAAATATTTTTATTCTCAGACCTATGTCGGCATATGCTCGGCTTTAATAGTTGAATATTAATACAAAACATTGGTCGTATGTCGGCCAACATAATTCGACATTTGCAAAAGGCCCGGTCTGATTATAGGAGTCTTGAACGTTGGCAAATTAAGGGGTAAGGGTAGAGTACTGAAAGTTCGTTGATGTATGAGCTAAAGAAATATTAATAAGTTGTATATCCTCAGATACCCTGAATGGTATATCCATTCACCAAATCTTGATCCGCAACAAAGGCATCGCCGCGACGTCACCTTATGATCACAAAACCGATAACGGACGCGTGTTTGGAACTCTCGGCCAGAATGACGCCGGATTGTTTGTAAGTATACATATTTTGATCTAAATTTCGCTTACGGATTAGTAAAATAAGGTTCTTTTTTTCCTTTTTTTAAGTTTATTATCATTATGCCTGCTGATGGTTCTAGTAGCCTTAAAGATGATTTAGCTATACCTACGTATGTACGATATAAAAATACGTGTATGAAAATTAAACTCATCGCGCACTAACCAGAAAGGGCAGAATAACGTCTTCCGGGCTAGCTTGTGTGTTATATAAGTAGGATGTAGGAAATGCATTTTATCATCTGTCTCTATGAACTTAATCACGAATAAGTGGTTGCACATTCAGGGTGCTACAATGAGATCTTGTATGCTCGCACCACTTTAAAAACGAGCCGTCCCTGTGGTTGGGATACTTTATTAAATGAAATCATTTCTATTGTGTTGGTAGAATTTGTTTCAACCGTCAAGTTTAGACTTCACTCGTATTATAAATGTTTGTAAAACTTTCACTGTCCAGTTTTTAGACCAAATAGTTAGACAATAGCAATGACCTATTTATGTAGTACACGGGACAGCGAACGGGTTATTATAAAATGACCAGTTTGGGAATAAACCCTCCCTCTACTCTATAAGGTGTAGTATTTCTAAATTATTTCCGTTATCAGAGACAAAAGGAAATTTCTGATATTCTTTCAAATATATATTAAAATATATATTTTACAAAATTTATGAAATAAAGAAAGACGTTAATTAACTGGTACTATCACAAAAATTAAAAAGATAATAAACGTATGGTAGTTTAAGACTACAATTAATTGTGTGTATCTGGTTATGCCTCAGCGTTATGCTGCAGGGTTACCTACAGCGCTGATGAGTCTGCCACAAGCGCAGTTACGCGCACGATCCGCGTGATTGTTTTTTTGAAATATATTTTCTATCTAACATTTGTAAATCACAAGAACTTTGTAGTCACAATCAGTAATCATTAAAGTACATCAATTATATAATAAAAATTATAATTTAAAGGGTAAAGGTGGCTACGAACATAACTTCTTCGACGATGACCGCGGCAAGTTAGACGGGCAAGTTTACGGAACGCGAGTGCTCGGGCCTTACGGTGACTCAAGTCACCTGGGTGGTGCGCTCAACTGGCAAAATCCTAATGCAGCCGCGTCGCTCGAAGTGAGCAAACAAATCCACGGTCCCGATTCGGTAAGTGACTTGCTTTAGGTGCTTATAATTTTCTTTTGTTATAACATTAAGAGATACGGGCGATATTAGATGGATTGACCAAACTGAAAACTCCATTGAGAGACATTGAAGATTGAACATTAAACGACACCTATATATAAGTTAAATCTTTCAAATGTCAACCAATGGTCACTTCAGCGATGTCGCGGGAAACTCATAACAATAAGAAAACCTTACCCTTCATTTTTCAAAAATAACTGAAGGAGTAATAGTTATACTCAGAAACTTGGAAAAGAAAACTGTATTGATCATTCAACGTTCAATTACCTTGAAAGTCCTCGGGGGTGTCGAAGCTTTCAATCATTTTCACCGTCTTTAGACGGCTCAATTCCATTAAAAACACCAACTTGAAAGCAATGTTGAACCGAAACTGATACGTGTAATATCGTCTTTATTTAAACTGTGAATATCATATAGCTGCTCGGTGACGTCATCCTAAACTTCTTCTTCTTTACTACTTGTAAAGCTGTAGAGAGGTTTTGCTTTAATCGTCACGCTTAGCGTATTGATGATTGCAAGTAACTCGCATTTTGACGTTGCCGCTAGTCGCCGGTCTGAGTATTTTACGTGTGATGTAAACTACATGATTCTACAACTATTTATCGAAAAACATAAGATTTTTCTGGCATTTCCCATAGTCGCATCTTACAACACCTATGGGATGAAGTGGGGGAAAGGATTCGCTTACACCGTCACCACACGGCACGTAGTTTAAATTAGAAGCAATTGTATTTTATATTAAATAGCATTGCCTAGAATCTGTTAACTTGGACTGGATAAAACCACACCACTCGTTCTTGCCAGTTCGTTTCTGAAAAGTTTTTAATTTTCAAACAGGTGTAGAGGTGGATTATAAACCCCTTGTCGTATCTCCTCAGTTTCAAGCCACTCCCCTTGTTGCCTTAGCCAGTACCAACCAGAATCCTTGGCGTTGACATAGTGAATGATATGCAGTTTTGTAGTCACTTGGAAAATAAGGCTAAATAGGCCTCTAAAATGTTTGGCGTGCTCAATAGAACGGGAAAGCATTTCATGCTGGCACACCGTCTGCAACTTTATAAAGCGCAGGTTGGGCCTCTCATAGAAAACCGTTCCCATCTCTGTGCCAGAGATGCCCAGTGCTAGCTCCTTCCATTTGCCCGCATCCAGCGCAGAGCGGTTCGAATTGTCGACGACCGAGTCCTCTCCAATCGGCTTGATCCACTGGCGTTGTGAAGAAATGTTGCATGCCTTTGCATCTTCTATCGCATCTACTACGGGGAGTTCTCTGAGCAATTGTTCGGATTAATTCCAGTCTTCTATAAAAAAGAGTTTCATAAGAGCTGGCCGCAAAACTAAATTGAAAAAAAGTAGAGTATAGTAAAGTATTGTTAACTTAAAGACTATGAATCCAGAATTTCTTTTTGTATCTTCTCCAATAATAATTATTTTCTTAATAAGTTTTATTGAAAAATAATTCTTTTTGGAGAATTCTTATTAAATATTATAATCTTCTATTACTGTACATCAAGTACCTGTAGCATAGGATAAGACTTAGAAATAGGTTTTATTAGCATCAATACACTCACAAAATATACATTTAGAAGTAAATAAGAACATAAAAACAGGCAAGGCACAAGATGGTAAACACAATTAAAAATATATATTATATAATTAATAATATAACAATATAAAGCAATGTTCATATGTTTCTTTATAAAACAAAAGTGACAATCGAACTCATAGCCCAGCTGATGGTAAGTGGCTACTGCAGTTCATGGTCTTCTATCTATTCCCGATCATTCAAGTAGTGATTCGTCTAACAAACCAGATCATTCGGGTCGATCATTCAAATAGATCATTTCGAGTTCCAGTACTATGTATGTTCTTTGACACCCCACTCGATCGTCGGACATTACTATACTCTAAGTCGTAGGTCATGTCAAACCTGTGATCCAGAACGTTCAAAAATGTAATTGCAATCATCAATACTTACAGCTTTTTTTATAGGGTAGGATGACAAACGAGCACACAGTCCACCTGATGGTAAGTGGTTGCTGTGGCCCATAGACATCTACATCTATCCTCGATTACGAATCAAAATGCAGATGTGTTGTCACCCGTGAGGACTAAGATGGAATGCCTCGTTTCCAGTAAAAAGGGTCTCCGGTTCTCTACACTCACCATACGAAACACAGCAGCATTAAGCTAATATTTGACGCTGGTATTCTGTAACATAACTATGTAATATAACTGCAGCATGGCTCTACCACGTAAAATGTACAGCTATAGATGATTTGTTACCTCTGTGATGATTTGTCACTAAAATGAAATACCTTACAGCCTGTAATTATTCTGGCTCTCTCTAAGCAAGAAAAGAGTCTACCTACCAGAATAATGATAGCTTTCGGATTAAATTATTTCGAATAGTGTTGATAATTTATCAGTACACATTGTTGATAATAACATCAACACGTAGATCGATAAAAAATTCTTTCCTATCGTATTAACACACTAATAAATAAATCTTTTTTTATAGATAATGGCAGGCGCTGGGGGTAGGTGGCCAGTTGGTAAAAATGGTGACTTCTCACTGGAAGGAACGTACTATGGGAAGACGTCTGGATACAAGCCGGAGTACGGTGGCAGAGGCGTGTTTAACTACCGTTGGTGAAAGTATTATCTGAAGTGGCTAATTTAATATAACTGATGAATAAATGTTATCTAGTAAGTGAATAAAAATAGTTTTCAAAATTGACTTTTGTCTGTTTTCTTTCCTTTAAAACTTCTCTAAATATCTATCTTGTTTGTAATGCATTGGCGTTAGTCGGAAGTCGGTCAGAAGTCAAAGTCTATACATACATATAATAAAAATGTAAATTGCAAATGTCTGTACATTTTATATTTTTGTAACAAAATTGATTGAAAGGGAAAAATAAGTCACTGAATACATTTCTATCATTTTTAGAATTATCTGTCTGTCTGTTTGTTTGTTAACGTACCATGTATAAAGTACTGATTTATAACAAAATAATTGATAGAAAAATTGTGAAACGTTTTAAATTTAGTCTTTGTTTTATTAAAATCGGTTCATCCTATCAAAAGTTATGATTTAGGGGAAATATAACCTCAAATGGCTTAGCAAGATCCTCCGTTTTGCCGAAAATATTGCAGCATTAATTTTGAAATAAATATATGGTAAAGTTGAGGATTAATGTTAAGGACTATGTTAGACGAAAACACGATTCCGTAAAATTTTCTCGATAGAAAAAAATCCTAAGTTACCTCCAAACTGAACAATAAACCGCTGTTATTTATAAAATACTTTAAATAAGATCATGAAACTTTGCATACTAACTGAACTAACTATAAAGCAGTACTTATGTTATTTACTTTTTTTTAATACCATTATTTTCACTGTAAAAAGAAATTACCTAAACTATGGGCGTCTTGAAGCTTGATTCCTGTCGCCCAGTTAGTATCAGGCCCCGGTCAACTCTGTTTGGACAGAATGAAATACCTACGGGGGCTGAATTTTATTATTGCCATTTGTCAGATAAATGTCTTGTTTCATGATTAGTAAGATTTTGCTAAAGATAAATTACACTCAAAAATTTTGAATACAGAAATAATAATCAATAGGAAGATAACTATGCCTGTCGTATTTTTCTACATTATTATATTAGCATATCCTTGACAGTAAAAGAAAAATAAATGTTTTCTTTTTGTTTTGATTTTCAATGAGTAGAAAATTATATTTTTTACTGGTAACACCAAATACCTAAATGAGTATATATTTCTCTTTTCTCATAATATGGCGTCGCCGTACAAATTATTGTTGTTCATCATTGGTTGTTATGTTTGTTTTGCTTGTCTCTTTTACTAAGATTTTGCAAGTTTACGATGTTGAGTTGAGATTAATGTCCTTCATTTATATGATGTGCGATGTGTTAGTCAATGAATCGTAGTGAAATACGAAATAGTGACTCTTAAAAACTACGCTGCAATGGCGGATAAAGAAAATAGAAAAAGTGTTCTAAGTGCAACAGCATACCAACCATTGGCAACGTTAAATTATTTAGTTTCCGAAATTCGCAGTAAAGTATATTTTGCGGTACGTATACGTTATACATATACACTATTTAATAAGTTCTAACCTTAAAGTAAATCTCTTGTCCAACTTATTGTTTCTCTTTTACCATTTAAAAACAAATTATTGGTTTGTAAACCATTAATTTGTTTTTAACCTACTTTGATAATATTTGTATTTAATAATTATATCTTGTTTTCAGTTGTAAATTATGGGCGAAATATTATATTCCTTCCCAAGAGCAGTATACTACTTTAGCTTTCCAATGCTACATAATAAGCCCAGAATGCTGTGTGAAAAACATTTTAATGATGGTTAATTTAATGATGCAACCAAGAAAAAGCTCTTAAGCACTGCAGTCCCATGTGATGTAAGTAAAGTGTATAATGTATATGGTAATATGGTATCTATATAGTTTTCTTTAAGGATTACTCAGATATTTTATATGGGGATTACTATATTCAGGAGTGGACTTTGATAGACTGTAAAGAAGATGATGATTATTCATATGACCATCATCTGGATCTAACATGGATGGACAGACCACATACAGTAGTTTGAATCCTGTTAATTCTTTCAACTAATTTATAATAATTGGATCGGACAAAGCATCCAAAGGATTGAAGTCTATAAAGTTAGCACAAGCCTTTCCTTACATTATTAAAAGTGCAACACACTGCATATTATTTTTAACAATCAAATTTTATTTTAGATCAACAACAAACCTTAAGAAAGTTCCGGCATCACAATATATGAATAATTACATTTGGTCCTAAACCTATTAAATTTAAAGGCACAACTTGTACAACGCAGTAGAAATACATGCATCAAATGGTTCTCAAACAATAGATAAACACAAGATTTCTTTTCACATAGTTATTGTATTTACTATCTTATTTTGTTATATTAATTGTAATAGTGGGTGTATTATAGAGCAAGTTGGATGAACAAGATCCATTCATTTATTTTGTATTGGTAGAAGGGTAATGTAGTGCCATGAGTAGGGACTGGTTTACTATGAAAGTAATGTCAATGAATATAATGTTAATTTAATTTTATGTAATAATTTTATGATACTATAATTTATGATTAAAACTACTTTTACGGATTTTATCGCGTTTATTTTTACTTTTTATTTACTTTTATTTTTAATATTATTAAAAATAAAAGTTATTAATATTATTAAAAATAAAAGTAAATAAAAAGTAAAAATAAACGCGATAAAATCCGTAAAAGTAGTTTTAATCATGTATAGTGTTCGCGTAAATATAAGAAATCATTACTATAATTTATTTCAGTTTTTATTTATTTCCAGACTAACAAAGTGTATTCCCATTTTATTTTGTGGAATCACAAGCTGGTCCCTCGCAAATTATTGCTGCAAAACCACAAGCAGGATCTTCAAAAAGGACAACATTATATCCACTGAAGAACAACCACAAACATCAAAGCATAACACATAATGTTGAACCTGAAAAAGAAAGTATGTATCTCTATATGAAATTTTTTAAAATGAAATAAGGAATATTTTTGTAATCTAATATTTAATATGTTTTATAATTTTGAATTAAAATTATTCTATTTATAAGCTGCATTCAATACTTAATATATTGCATATAATATAGAGACAAAATTTTTTGTGTCAATTCAGGGAAATAGATAGACAACCAAATATTATCAAAACACAATTATTATTTGTGAATGTTGCACTTTGCTCTTGTGTGTAGGAGCTTATTTATTAATTAACTTGTTTTAGATTAAAATATTGATATTTTAGTTATTGTAGACAATCATTGTGCATATTATCAATTCATCCATGATTGTAAATCTTATTTCAATTCTTTATCATTGTTTACTTAAGTAATTGAAATGTAATCGTTATTGATTTTCTTTTCATGTTTAAACCCATCAAACGTCTTTATAGAAAGAACTAAGCTGCTGGAGAAATTGTTTCTTAAGTTATGTATGTTTTTTATTTCAATTTGTATTTTTATTTTGAATAAATAAATAGAAATTTTGTAATTTTTGTTCTTTTATTTAGCGCTGGGATAGGAAACCCATAAATACCTCAAATAAAAAAAACAAAAAAGACCACATTCAAATTTTCCCGCCACACGAGAAGTGCAGGAGGCTGACGATAGATGGCGCTAGTGGTTATATATCTCATTTCTTAAATTTTGTATGAAGTTGTCGTTCTTCTCCGATAGGAGTAATAGTGTTCTGTGGTTAGTATCGCTTAGGCTTTTGAAGGGAGAAGTTGTGTCGCTTACGATCAGAATACACATTACGCAACAGGACGACGTAAAATTAAAATGGGAAATAACCGTGATAATAATAAGAAGCGACTGGGTTGGCGTTAAGAAAAAGGCATAAATATGATAAACCTCATGAAATAGTATCTAACGACCTATCTACTTACAGTATTAGTGGTTACAAACATGTCGGTACATAGTATACAACGCGCGGGGAAGTGGGGGCGAAATTAGAATTTAAGCTGACTTACTATATCCCCTTAATTTTCTGAAGTGTACGAAATATAGGTGAGAATTTATTAAATGGTGGCGTTGAGTGATAAAGGACATTTTTGTAATTAAATAATGTAAAATAGTGTTCTATAATGATATAATTGAATCTAAATGCAGTAAACAAAAATACTATATAATAACGTAATAAAAATTAAAAAATAATAATAATAATGTCCTCCAGACCGAATTGCGGCCACGGCGGCCAGCCTCAACAGAGGCTAAGCAATCGGCGCAGGACAGGATTATAGTGCCCAAATGTATGCGCAAGCACAGGTGCACTCTCTATTCCCCCACTCTCATAATCCGATGGGACGGTAAACCGATTTGACCGGAGAGAGATCAGGCGCAGGACCAACGGCTTTACGTGCTTTCCGAGGCACGGGGGTGAGACACCGCCAAATGCCTGGCTCCGGGCAACTACTGAGAATTTCTTGACGGAGAAACTCAATAAATAATTTTTGGCCTGACCCGGGATTCGAACCCAGAACCTCAGCAGTCGCACTACAACAACCACTAGATCAACGAAGCGGTCAAAAAATTAAATATATAAATCTTAATATCTTAGTTGAAAAAATACAATAGTTAACCAATATTATCGATAGATGGTGTTGTGCAAATTATTAAGGTGTGCTTATATTTTTTTGATAAATCAAATTTTGAAAGAGCTATTAACATTTTTTTGGTTTCGGCAAGGGACATATCTATCATATAGAAGCTTGGCAAACATATTATACTTCCCTTTCGTACTTCCAAAAGTTATAAAATTTACATTGTCGTGAAATTGAAAAATTATGTTACCAAATTTTGAGTTTTTTAATAATATTCCTACCCGTTCTTCTCTAAATATCATATAATTTTTATTTTACTGTAATGATAAATTAACTACTATAATTTTATATAAAATGGCGAAGTATTTTCAAGCACCATAAGGTTTCATTATAAACGAGATATGAAGGACATATAATATGTAAATCATTACTTTGCTTGCTGCTTTCAACGCAATGTTTGTATTGGACCAGCAAATATGTTTCTTTTATCCAATAACCGTTACAGCATTTT